CGGAGCATAAACGCAAAATGAATGAGGCTACATAATCTTTGGTGTGTGTGTAGAAAACAATCGCCTCGACGAAATTGTCTGCCGTCATTTTTGCTCTTTCGCTTCTCTTGTTTGTTCATGATGCGAATAGCAATGCCAAGCAAATGGGCGCTAGAACAATGAACCAAAGAAGAAGGGAATGTATGGTGCCAAAAACAAAGACCTCCACCGATGGAAAGAAAGCAAGAAAAATGGCATAATGAAGAGAAGGGAAAAAATGATAAAAGAGCTGCGCTAAAAATTTCCACCGATTTTCTTTTGTACCCACCCAACAACTTGAAATGATGATGTTGTTTTTCTTCCTTGCCTCGGTTTCTTTTCTTCTTCGGAATTTGGGTTATGTCAAAGCTATACAGTTGAATTCATTTCTTTTGCTTCGCCTAGAAAAAAGAGCTCGTTCATCAAAGTGCAATGCATGTTTGTTAAGCAAATGACATCCTTAATTTGAACTTATCGAAAGGGATGCTGTTTAAGCTTATGCTTAGATTTGTTGCATGGGAAACTCATGAATTGGGCTAACGACTTCTCACTCTATTAAAATGCCATGAAATGGAAACTGAATTGATTTCTTCAATCACAGCAAGCACTCATTACTGCTTCAACAGAGAAAGTGTAACAAACTTTCCACTCGTCTGGCTTAAAATTACTTAACTTCGATGATGACTCACAAAATCGATGCCTGTGTTGTTATTTTCCAGCTTAACTGTTTGCTCCAGTTAAATGCTAAAACCGAGAGCACAGCAAAAAATCACGCTTTTACATCGGCACAGTTGCTAAATCGTACTACAGTAGCAGTGGCAACCTTTTCCAAAATTCGCGACTTCGAGGAAACATATCATCATGAGCTGAGTGTTTCTTGGATGACACAACACTAAATCGGAAACATTTTTTTCATCATCGTCGTCGTAGTCGTCGTCACCGACATTCTTTTTGAATGCGATTGATTCTTCACTTTTTATGTTTGCGCTTAGTCTTTTTTTGCACCACCATTCAACAGCAACAGCGATAGAGTGACACTTTCAATGCTAACAAAAAATATCACGATACAAATGACTGAAACCTGCCGTTACATCGATTGAGTGCTCACGGGAAAAAGGCGATGACGTTGGCGACAGCAACAGTACATTTACATCGAGTAGTTGTCATATTTGGAATTTTTTGGGATGGAGTGAGTTGGCGTTTAACTTGGAACGCAAATGTTGTACCACTTCGTAAGCCGTGATTTACATAATATTTATTTGGTTCAATTGTGTCAAGTGCTCGAAGTCACTCTTTTTTTCGGTATGCAAAAGCATGAAACCCTCTTATCGCATTCCGTAGGCACACTCTCACTTGACAAAATGACAACTGCCATTGCCACCACTGAAGTTCAGCCTCAAATGGAAATTTAACAAGCGGAATCATCACATTAGAATCGTACTTAAATCGAAAAGTTATTTATGCTAACGGCATTTTCTTTGGAGGTGTTGCCAATATGAAACGACACTCACATTAAGATGTCAGTTCCTCGAAGCAACGGAAATAAGATGTTTCAAGCACATGCAAATCAGCTTTATTTATTTGTTTTATTGGAAAATGCATGAAAATGTCGAGAGCATACCAACAAAAAATCGTGTTATCAAACTATGGCGAGCGAAAAAAAGAAAAGGAAGAACCAAATTCCTCATCGTCAGCCACATTTTGTCAACTTAATTAACATCATCGATCGAAAATAACTGGGAAGAGATGTGACAATTTTTCGCTTGAATCGCTTGCATGGCACTTCATGCTTGAAGACAAAATCCGCCACTTTGACTATACAGCGAATCAAATTGGTTGCGATAAAGTTACACTCTATCAAACTCGAAATAATGTGCTGAGCGAGCGAACGATGAAGAACAGTATACATTGGGATTCCTTTGACTTTCCACTATAAAATATTCGACGGATTTCTCACTCGTTGAACTTGAACACACAGACACAGACACAGACACACACACGCGCAAGAGTTTTTTTTCGCATTCTCTCTATCTTCCTCGCTGTTCATACAAATGACGTTAATATTTGAATATTTCAATATGTTGCTTGAGCTGGTAGGTGGTTGCTACTGCTAGTGTCGTCACCGTTTTCGAAATAGTGAACAGCAATCGGATATGAAGTTACACCATTTACTTTCATTGCATTTCCATAAAGCGTTATTCACGCTACCGTTCCATACTGTTTCTCTTACTCCCTTATCGAATATATATGATAGCTACATGTTTTGGCATATACGAGTCTTTTTTTTCGTCCGTATTGCACACACACAAAAAAACAAGCCATCGTCACGGCGATTACAACATTTTCATCGTTTTTGTTTTCCGTTTTCTTTACCGGCATTCTCTCCATCTCTCTATCTCGTACACTCTTTGTTCAGCGGACGAAAAAAAAACCAACAGACACTTCACTTGAGACGAGACGACATTTGCGATTTCAATAGCGCACCAGAATATAGGAAATCAAATGAAACAGAAATTCATGAAAACTAATGGCACCGGAATCGACTTCTGCACCAAAATTCACGCTTTCGGTTGCGAGTAAAGAGAAAAGTGCCAACGATTATCTTGCGACTCGAAATGAATAAATTTTCACCGCACAAAATCCCTAGTGATCGAACACAAACACACTCACACACATAGGTTGATAATAGTGATGAAGCGTCGGTCGCATTTGCACGTGGATGTTTCAAACGCATGTAGAAAAGATACGGGCTCACCAAAATGAAGCATCGATAAATTCCAAGTGCAAGATAATATGGAACATACCGTGTGTGGATATGAGCATCGGAGCGCTTTACCACTCAATCCATGAAATTGGAAGCTTTTATCATATCGTTTGTTACACGTTGTAAATGCTGGTTTATTTCAAACGCTCTATTTCGTTCATTCGCTCGTATCGTAAACGTAATGGCCACTGAGTGTGTTTGTGCACATTTTATGAATAAAAAATGAACACATCAAAAGCATCTTGACTATGCTTTTTTAATGCACAGAACGATAAAAAAAAACAACGTCACACACAAATTCCATTCCATCACAAAGTAAATTAATTAAATTAACCAATTATACTGAGACATTCCTTTGAAACTGGTCATATGAATAGGCAATTTTTTTTCTCTCTCCTCATGGTTTTTGCTTATTTACACAAAGTTGCTTTTTTCCGTTTGTTCGTCTTGTTATGAGAGTACAAACTATTTGAATTGTAAGTAAAATTGGAACAAATGCACACAGACAAAGTTTCATTTCGGAAAATATAGTTTTATGATTACTGTCGCATATTTATTTATTTGTTGCATATTTCAGCGACGTTTTTTTTCGAGTTTTGCCTCCAGTGCTTGTGATTCAGCTGTGTTGTAGGATGCATTACATCGAAATGTTTATTTTTTGTCGGGTGCAGTAACTAGGTTGACTCACATGGTTTTTATTGGCAAGAAAATGTTAAATGTTGTAAAATTTAATGCAGTTTTTTAGAGTCTCTGACTCGGAGAGAAAGAGAGAGCAAAAAGTTTTAATCGAAGTATATTCCAGTGAAGGCATATATCGTAAACAATCGTTTTAATTACATACACAAGATGGTATTTATCTGTGGAATGTGGAAAAACTTCATCAATATTGTTTGTAATGTCATTTTTGATACGGTTGTTGTTTGCGCACTTTTGCGAGAAAAAAGGATGGAAATTTTTGGAATCTAATTTTCTTCTTTATTATGCTTTGTGTGGCATTATACTAAAAAGCAAGCTCGTTACTAGAGACGGCTCATAAAATCTTCATACATGTACGCATTTCTATCTGTATTTGAAATCAAAAATTCATTAGGAAGCAAGCACATACGTTTGGCTATTATCATCACCATATTTTCTGCATATGAAATTTATTTTCGGCCAGCCAATGCGATTGTGCCATGGTGGATGCGACGATCATCTAACCAGCATAATCATGGTAGCATTTTGGCATGGCAAAAGTCAAAACAAGACCAAAAGCGTAAAAACCATTTCCAACAGCTTGACAAAGAGAGAGGGAGATAGAGAGAGTGGAGGCAAAACGAAGACGAAAAATATGCAGTAGTGTATGAAGAAGAGCTAGTGGAATAATGAAGCGAAAAAGATTTACATTGTTTGGGCCATGGATAATGACTTGTTGGTGTGCTGCTGCATGCTCTATGGGCTGAAGCGAGTAAATGGAAAATGGTTATCAAACCTATATCCAAGTCCAATTCGCCTTTTTTCTCGCTCTATCGCTCTCTTCCATTCTTATTCGCTCTCTCTTCCTCTGTGTAAAAAACATTATCCATATCCACAGCCATAAACAACATCGTCGTTATTATAAGTACATATCGTTCATATGAATATTATTCAGTCTGTGTTGTGTGTCGACTATCGTCTGCATGCTGTATCAAGTGCACATATAGCACTCAATTTATAGTCATACATTGGAAAGTGTCAACAAAACGGCATAGGGTATGCATTGCGCATGATTGCTCGCTCTCATGCATACTCTCTAGCGGTGAGAGGTTCATGTTCGAAAATGTGTTCGCTCAACATTCACTGTCTGATGTGTTCGCTCTCTCCACCAGCCGAAGGATTTTCGAAAATCGAATCGAGTGGAAGCGACCGTGCACTTGACTGAAGGATAAACACATACACACCGAATTGCTTGTGGTGCTGCTGTTGCGACTAAATAAAAACAAAACAATCGAACACATGTTCCATGTGTCGAATCACGAGAACGTCAAGAGAGCATTTCGTCCCGAATAGCGTAATGTCAAAATGAGAGCGCGGAGCGTAAAAGAGAGAATGCCAAACAATTAGCTCTTCAAATTTTTGCCGTCATCTTGTTGTTAGTTCTCTCTCGATCTATCTTGCTCTCTTCTTCTCCTACACAAGCTCTCTCAACGCTGTTTTGACAGTGTGTATATTCTACAATTCAATCGGAGAGACAGCCGTCAGTGACTGTGAGTTGGTGCTACGGTTTAGTTGTGGATTCCAGTCCGCTCGCTCGGCTCCATCAGTTCTTGTTTGTCCTTCGAACCGATCAGTCGACAACTCAAGTGCAATCAAAACCGTAGCTTAACTGAGTTATTTAGCCGACGTTTTTAGTTTTCCACTAATGAAAACGGCGAACAAAAATAACAAATTTCCCGAAAGTTTTAATGAATTGAGTTTTTTGTGCTTGTCTTAAAATAACATGTTTTTTTAAACAACAACAAAAGACTTTTACGGATCTTCAATTGAGACGATTTTGAATTAAGGTGAACTAAAACAAACCAAGTTGTAACTACAACGAGCGCCTACAACAAACAATTTTCCGGAGTTGCAATAAAAAATTCAAACAAAAATTAATCGATGAAAGTGAAATGTGTTTAAAAACATAGACAGTGTATTTATGTGTGTGTGTGTGTGTCTCACTGCACGAATTTCTAGCTCGGTAAAAAACACAAAAACTGAATTCTACACAGACACAGAGAGATAGGGAGGGAGAGGAAAAAAGCGACAGCAAAAATTAACGACACCAACAGAATAATGAACTAATGAAATGGTGTGTATATTCCATACTCCGTACGTATTTAAAGCCAACAATAAAATTGAGTTATGATAATTGTTATGAGTTTTATTTTGTTGTTGCGCCAATTTCTGTGTTCTTTTATGTTCGTTAATTCATTTTGGTGTAAATTGTGTTATTTTGGTGTTTTTGTTTCTGTTTCAAGTGCAACCATGGTAAGAGGGATGGCATGGTGGGTACAGAATTCGAGTTGATGAGAGTTTTTGTTGCAGTTATCATTAGATATCTTCCAAAAGGTGTTCAAATGTTGTACACACTCGAGTTTAATGATTGACTGTTTTCTTTTCTTTCGTTCTCTTTCGCTCGCAGTTTTATGTGATGAAAATTCAGGCACACATAATACCATCGACCATTGTTTATTCATATGATAAAATCGGAAAGTTTTCGCATCGGTAATTGCGCGTTGAGACTAGCAAGAATATTCTGATGAAAGATGTTGCCTAGCATTTGGTTTAGTCTCTATTTAACCTTATCACCATATGGACCAAGTGAAACACAAACAGCTCCGAATTGTAATTAAATTTACCTGTGTCAACCTCCTGCTGTCATGCAGAATTTATATTTTCTCGACACTGAAAGAAAAGGTGCCGTGAATCGACCGGAGAGCCACCGTGCCTCTGTTTATTGTCATTTCAGAGCAACGACCAAATCATACAAATCCCCGTGTGTACCATATCTTTCTCCAACTCTCGCCGAGAGAAAAAGACGAAGAAATTTCAAATTAGAAACTCACTCACACACACACACATAATACAAAAGCTCAAGGAATATTAAAATATGGAAAATATTATTATTATTTTTCGTTGGAAATGTTTATATTTCGTGTTTTCTTCGATTGCGGATCAAATCAACGGGAAATATTAAATATTCATCAAGAATGTGAGAATCACAATGGACTTCGTTTTCCCTTCAAAAATTTTTCCTCTCAAGCCCAAATAAATACCCGAACAAAAGGAAAAAAAAATCAGCAACACCCTCGAAAACTCCTCGCTTCGGTTGGCTAACAATGAATGAGTCTTGTTAATAAATTATATGTAAACTTCTAATTTGGCTCGCATATTGAATTGTATTTTTGGGCGACGATACACTTCACATTCAGCGGATACGACACAGTCTGTCTGCCTGTGGTAACATCTTTTCAATATCCACATTGCCATTGCGCGCTCGTTACTGTTGTTTTTTTTCGTTCACTCGTCGTTATTCCTCATTTCCAAGCTTATTGTGACCACTTTTTTCGGTGCTCTTCATTTCCTGCTCCCACGCATAAGTATCAACCGAATTTCAGTATTTGAGGCTTTTTTCCTGCCTGGTTCTTTTGGTTTGCTCACTTCACATTCGCCAACCGCCATTGCCTTCCACAATGAATCATTGTTTTCATTCCATATAACCGAGTGCTAACCGAGTGGAATGTGAATGAGATGAAATTGAAACAACAGAATAATAAGACTGCAACTGAACAGCACACAGCTGAGGAGAGTAGAAATAACAACATGAAAACCGATGGGAACTCGTACGAACCGAGAGAAAATGATGTGAAAATTCATTTGTTGCTGTTCAGTTGGGAGAGGAGGGAGTGGGTGAATTCATTCGCTCTTTTGTTCACAGTTTTTTTTGTGGTTCAGTTGTCAGTGTGTGTCGTTTTTGAATTACAATTTTTCAGTTTGAGCTTGGATGCGACACTTTTACGTATCCATTAAGCCTTCTTCGATGGTAGAGGTGGTTGACGGTAGTTGTGGGATATTTTGCCCTTCCCATTTCCTCCCATCATTGTTGTGTTTTACATTTTCCCGAACAACGAGAATCGAGAATCGACGGCGAATCTCGAAAACTAATTTATGTTTCACAGACGCACTCAATTTCCTGTTTCCATTGTTTTTCACTTTTTTCTCCTTGCTTTTTTTGTCCTATTCATTCCCTCCGTTGTAACATTATTGCTGTTGCTACTTTTCTTTATGTGTCATCCGTACGACAAGGATCGTGACGTGTATATTGTGTACAATTCTTCAGAATTTGACGATGGCAATGCAAAATGCACGCTCGCTCGCTTCAGCCATGAACAATGCCATCAACATGTGAAAAATCTCCGGAACGTAAACACAGATATAACACGCGAGTGAAAAATACATATTTTCGGTGGCTTCAGTGTATCCAAACAAGCGCTTTGGTTTTGCTCTTCGCCTGTTTCTTCTTCCTCTCCGTCTTTCTCGTCTTCCTCGTCTTCCTCGCCTTCATCTTCTTTGTGCATATTATTGTTCTTGTATTGTATGTTTCCGGAGTTGATTCGTTTTAAAGTGGAGCCTGAAGTGAATTCATTTGCGCACATCGTTACCCAAAACAAGGGCAACACAACACACAATCAACCGTATTTTCTGCATTCTAACGGCCTCAATGTATATGTGACAATGAGATCACTTGGTTGGTTTTACGCTCGGTGAAAAGATGATGACGACGATAATGGCACAATTGAGAATGGGAGATGATACAGAGGAAAGAAGGGAAAAAAACACAGTAACACCACACCACACAAACTCATACATACACCGCTCACTCGGTGATGGTTGAAACAACAACAATAAACCGTCATAATGGCACATATATTATGCGTAAAACGCGCCATTCAACGCTGTTATGTTTCAGTTTATCAACAATATACTTTATAGCAATGAGAAAATTGCTGGCACAACAAACACAGCATTGGGTGGAGGCTAAATATATATATGTGTGTGTGTTTTTTTATTTCTTTGCTTGCAAAAACGATCTCTTGGCGCGAACCATTCGCAAAGATATATTACAACGCGTAAGAATTTATGTTGAATACTTTACACAAAGCAACTGCTTTTTTTAACGATCGCTATTCGCAGCAAAGTTATTCGCTCGCCGACGGTGACACGATACGTGTGCGCTGCAAAATAAAGAAACGCATATCAAATACACATTCGTAAAACGGGTTTGCGACAGATTCTTGGCATACATATTCGTATCGATCGTCAGATGTTTAAAATGGTTTATGACATTCCAGCGCTTGACAAGCTGTCCTTTGGCATGTGTGATGCATCATTCACAACCATTAGAAAAGGCGTCAACAAAGCCATCTCAATTTCATTACCTGAGTCAGTGAAATCCGTCTTGATAACTAAACAAATGACTTTTTCAGCGCCCATTCATTATGGCATCACATCCAGAATCTGTGAAATTTTAAATAAATTTCCCGAAAAGCACCTGCCGCTCACTTACTGTTTGTTTTCTCAATTTGAATTGTGCCGCTGACTTAAACATTTCATCACACCGTCAGCAACCTTTTTTCGAATTTCAACCGAGCTCGTATATGTTGTGAATGTTTATGGCACCTTCAAATCGAAAATCTTTCAGACTTATTGAATATACACGGGATGCCATTTCATAACTATGGATTTTTCACAACGAGCATTTTTATTATCAATTTGCAGTGCACTTTACGATTGGAAAATTGTTGAAAATATACACGAGAGAGCCAGAGAAGAGGAGAGGGAGAGAAAGAGACAGAAAAGAAGGAGAAAAAAACGGGCGGTTGAAAAGTTTACGGATAATCGAATTTTCCACTGAATTTCAAACCTCCGCTCGCTTATTTCCTTCATTTTTTTTGTTACCGTACCAAAGCAATGTGCATTGCCATACATACAACCAGTCCAACGACTGCAAAATATGTGCCACACGAAAATTCTTTTCACTCGATGCTGTTTTGCACACTTTGTTATGCTGTCTATGCAGCAGTGAGAGTATCGATTGAGTTGCCCTTATTACGCGATGTCCTTCAACATTCTCCAATGTAATGCTAAACAGAGAAGAATAAGCGGAATAAAATGCCATTGTATTGTCAAGTCATGTCGCAAAATCTATCCCAATGCAGCTAGAGCTTTTCACTCGACGACGCAAAAGAACACAAACATTCAATCGTACACAAACATACACACACACACGGACTGGCGAATCACTGCAAAAAGTCATGGCCATGAATTAAATTTTCAGCTATTGAACATTCAATTCGATGCTCCATTGACGTTGTCGTGCCAACCATCATTCGGCGCACCACACATACATTTCACTAAATGGAATTTGCAGCTAATTTTTAAACCGCTTGGTTCGTCTTTTTTTATCAGGTCCTTTCGCTATGATTCCGTAATCAGCGGCTACAATTTTTTTTCGGCATCGCTTTTCAGTAAATGGTAAGGGAGATGGTCCAGTTGTGAGACAGGTCTTAATTTTCAAAATATTGAAAATTGGTCACGGCACTGAACAAATCCGTAAATCAATTGAATGCGTGTTATTTTTAGGTTCTGGTTCATCTGTGCCCCAGCAATGGACTGATAGAAGCCACAATGCTCGATGGTTGAATGGTTGTTATGCAACTCATTCACACCGACATCATTTTTTTAATTTCGCCGTGTTTGCGTCAAGAGAAAGTAAAATTTTCATTTCATAAATTGACGCTGATAATCGCTTGCCCAATGCCCAATGGGCAATGCCCATTCAGCCAACAGACGAAAAATCATAATTAATTTTGACATGCAGGCCATGCTGGTGCAAATCAAACAATTTGGACACATACACAGTCACACACACACACATCGGGATATTCAATACCGTTCATTTATAGAATGGTTTCGGTGTGTGTGTGTATGCTTTGAAAGTAATTTCATTCAACACAGCCTTTTCATTTCCGTCGATAATTTGATGCACGTCAGTTGCAGCAGAAAAAAAATAACGTGATGGACAATTGAAAGCGTTATGAAAAAGCGATGCATTGTTTTTTTTATGCAGCTTCCAAATTGCCGCCATGTTCAGAGATTAACTTAAAAAAAACGATTATTTATCATGGTGAGTTTGTTTTTAGATTATCAGCGAATGAAAAATGATGTAAAATCGATTCGATATCGTCGTTTAGACGAAATGATAATACAAAGCTTTCAACTTGCAACAATTATTCGGGTTGAAAATGG